AAAGAGAGAGAGAGAGAGAGAGAGAGAGAGAGAGAGAGAGAATTGGAAAAAGGAAGACGAATTTAATAAAGAAACAAGAGAGGAACAGAATACATCTAAATTCAAGAAGAACAATCGCTAAGATGGAACCGTGAGAACTGCTGCTATAACGTTACAAGGTTTGGCAATCACAAAATGTTTGTTGGAAAGATGGCGTAAAATCATAGGGGGATAAAAACCCAAAGAAAAGTCAGATTGTATATATGTACATTTTATAAATTCGTTTATTTCCACTAGCATAAAGTAAAAACGCCACATTCTTTAAAATCGTAAAGCTTTTTACTGTCTGGCCGTCTTTTTCAACTTCATTGGCAGTACAACCGTCCTGCTTTTAGGCTTCTTTTCCCTAAAAAATAACCCCGCTGCTGATTTGTCAGCCGACAGCAAAGACTTATGATCTACTACATGTATTTACAGTTTCTCCAAGACGAGGAACGGGATCGAATTACACCACTATGTCAAAATCAATAGCGGTGTTAGAAGTATTTATGGATATTTAAAAACGTTAATTAGCTTCAAGGTCTACAGAAAAAGCGTGCTTTCAGAATCTAGGAGAACATTTATTTTTTAGGGAAGTGCCGGTCAATAGGCAAGTTTTATAGTAGTGAGGTACCGCATGCTTCAGGCACGAACCCCATGAATCCCGACAAGAGCCATGCTTCCGAATATGTACAACTTTCCTTATAAATAGAGTTTGTTGAGTCACACTACGAAATCGATGTTGTGCAAGCGCAGAAAAATCACGTGACGTAGAATTGTTCATGACTTCAAAGAACAGCACAGTGCGCAAGATTGTGTTTGCGTGTGCGTGCGTGCGTTCGTGCGTGTGTTCGTGTGAGCAAGCAAGCACGTATGCCTGTGTGCATCCGAGCGCGTTACAGGCGCACTATGTGCATGTGTGCGTGTGTAAGAAAGTAAGTTCTCTTATGCTTGCCCGTGTTTAAATGTGTCATCAACTAATTACCATAGAGATAAAAGAACAGCAAAGTCAAATGTGAGCAAAAAATTAGGACATGCTATTTTCAGAACTTCTATGGCAGCCTGTCTAACCTGCGTTGAGACTTCTTCTAAGACATGATGTATAAACCAGCTACATGTACATGTTTACATTTTTCTTTTCTTCCTTTAACATTGCTTCAAAGTCAAAGTACTTTTCTTTCTTAATTTGTATTTTCGCACTAAAACACTTGAGAAATTGGTAACCCATTAGCAAACAGACACAAAGACTGCATAAAACAAGAGCAGCGTTTGTCAACATTTTCATAACCAGCAAAGACTCTGCTCACCACCTTTGAGAAGAAAACATTGTCGAACCGCCCTCCTACGCGCACTTGTGTATTTCTAAGAGGGACATCTCAAATAATACATGATGTCACTACCCACGTAATTCCCCACCACGCATCACAATTACCAATCGCCCACTAGATCTAGTGGTCGATATCGCCGAGCTTAGCAAACACTGCACATGGTCGTCTGCAAATCAAATATTAATTAATTAATACATTAAATAGTACCCACTTGATCCCCTACCACTCATCAAAATCGCCGAGATTAGAAAACGCGGCACAAGGACGTCCACAACTATAAATCATCGGATTTGTCTGAGGTCGACATGTTATCAACCCTGGGCCTCACGGTCAGTTGAATTACCCTTGAGTACAACAATCTCCTTAACTCAGTCTACAGCTTCGGCTTACTGAAACAATGACGTCATCAACCCCCGCCCACACTGTATTATCGCCGATGAAATGAGGAAAAAAAACCTAGTACATTCTGGTCATATATTGACATCATCAAAGATTCTCTTTTAAGGGAAATGTCCACATCATTTTTTTCTTTCCTCGGAAGTCATAACATCTTTATGATCTACGAAAACACAAATATATTTGAAATTTAAGAGTTTGAACAAGAATAATAAGAGGATTTTCCCCCAACAAAACATGACTTTGTCAGACACAATATGAGCCTAATGTTCGTTCGTCCAGTTTTTGAACCGCACTTGGCCAATTTTACCTTTCAATTTCACGTTGTATTGTTATCGTTTTAAAAAGAAGTACATGCATTGTGCTTATGAATCTCAGGATTGTATTTGGAATAACAGAGAAAAGATTTATGAGGTGATAAAAACGTTAAAGATAAAAAGATCCAGGCGAACAAAATATTGTAAAAGAAGAGAATAGCATCAAAGAAATTCTGTAACTGAGCTTGTCGTTTCGTTCACTGTTTCCGAATCCCATTTTTAGATTCCGCTTTTCTTTGTTTTGAGATAATATATCCGTTGAATTCAAACTGCTGGGGCGCTCAATTCTTTTTTAAAAGACGTAAAATACAAAATCCCTGAGCAATAAGATCACCATGACAAGGTGGCGAAGCTGGCAAGATCAGACAGCTAATTGTGTCTCTTCATGCGCTTGGGAAGGGCGTTGGCGGATTCCACTATCCAGATTGAGGGAAATGACCCGTAGAAAACACCATATAAGCATAACGTAATACTGAATGACTTTTGTTGGGAGCACGATCTCCTGGGTTTGGGACAAATTTGCCCCTCCCACCACCCCCCACCCCCACCCCCACCCCAATAAAAAAACCAAAAAACCTAACCAAAAACAAAAACAAAAACCCACCACCATCAGCAAAAACGACATAAACAATCAAATATATACGCATGGCTGGACACACAATAATGTGTAATCATCACTTTGTTCAGCCAAGACGTGTACCCTGTCTCCATGGTGATACCGTGATCTTTACCATTACCCCTTCCGTTTCACTAACACACACAAACACACACACACACACACACACACACACACACACACACACACACACACACACA